CCAATCTTTGTGGTCTGACGGCAACTAATATCTGTCTTCACATTCTCACCGCCCGTTTTATACACCATCAGACTTCCTTGCAATCGCCCTTCAGCTTGATACTGATCTTCCCCACCTACAGCCAGGGGATCGTAATTATACCAGCGAAGGAGGCCTTACCATCGCTGTCCTACAAGTAGCAATGAGGGACCGTAACTACAACTACGCAATGCTCGAGCAGGTGAGTGGTTTAGTCCTCCATCCCACATCTCTGCCTGCATTGTGCACGGCCCTGGCCATTACATGGCCATTGTACATGCCTCTGACCACTGGGAGCTGTGGGACAACGGCACCATGGTCCATGCCATGACTGATGTCACTGATTTCTTACAAAATGATGCTGTTTTCTTGCGACAATAAACTGTCCGCAATCTCTTTTATGTCGAAGATCATTCCTCTGGCCCCGTGCTAGGTCTTCCATGTGTTCATCCACCTCATCCTTACAATGTATGTTCTCTCTGTCGTCAAGGACAGACTCGTTCTTGAGCCTTTTCTTATCCTCTTTTGCCTTCATCTTCACTCCACACTGCATACTTTCCCTTACTTTCCCTTTGCTCTTTTGCCTTCATCTTCACTCCACACTCCATACTTTCCCTTACTTTCCCTTTATTGTTCTTTGTTTGTCTGCTCTCCATCTCTCCTCACTGTGTTTATCCCCTCCCCCTTCACTCTGCCTCTTTCTCACAGCGTACAAGTGGGCTGTTATGGCACACGGGGATGGGGGCAGCTCGCGCTCAACTTCATCAACGTGGCGAGCCTTGTACGTCAGAGGCATGGTGAAGAGGGAGTTAAAAGAAGAATGAGGAAATTGAATGGTTTCAGTGTGCCCTTCATGTTTGTCTTGTTTTTTTAATTTTTTATTTTTGCCGTTTGTTTTGCAAAGTGCGCTCTTTTAGTTCATAGTTATGTGACAATATATCAGATTATATCTTCATAGAGAACTGCCTGGTGAACTGTCGGCAGAGAGGGAGAAAAGCACAACAAACGAGGGCTGTGACAGACTGTTTCGTCGGAGTCTTAGTAGGAGGCTGTTTACATGTTTATATGCATATGCATATATGTATGGAGTGTGTTTCCTGGCTGTGACTGACCTTTCTTGGTTTCATGGGGGATTTGCCGGCTTCTGAGGGTGGAGTGAACCTACAGTCTGTAGAGTCTTCTTTTTGTTTGTTTTTTTTGTTCAGAAAGCGGGACGACCTTGTGATATGATCATTGAACTGACCGGCCTCAGGTAATCCGGAAATATTTTATTCCGTTCATTTGATTGCATCCAGATTCTCTCTCGGGTCTGTATTTCAACAGCCCGTGGTGTACCAACTGAGCTAGGCCCGTTGGTAGTCTTCTGTTTTGTGGTTAAATCTTGAATCAGACATTTAAGTTAATTAAACTGAGCAGAGCGGAGACCAGACTTGATTCAAGTAAAAAGACTGAGGAAGGTATTACGTCATTAGCTTCATGTTGTTGTTCTTTCTGTAGTGTCAAGCTTCCTGCTTTGTCGGAAGTTTATCCGAATTAATTTTTGATGTTTTGACTCGTGTTCTTTTAACTTTTAAGGGTATTTATGAGCCGCTTCTCATAGGACCTTCATGTTTTGGGACTGTAGCTTGGCTTTGTTTTCCTCTTCAAGACACAAAACATGCACATGCCTTTTTTAGAACAGTGATTGACAATCATCTATCGTCTCTCCCTACCATCT